GGAGGGCGGGCAGCACGCAGCACCCCAACGGCCCGCGGGGGACGCACAGGACCCGGCCCTGGGCGGAGGATGGGGGGATGGGTACGGGAACCGGCCGTGGGAGCGGGTTCCAGTTGCGGCGCTAAAGTAAGCATACACCGAAAGAGGCGATCCGCCTTTCTGAGCGAGCGTTACTCAGGAAGCAGGGTCCTTCATTTCTTAGTCATTCATTTTCTGCTGGCATCATTTGCACAGGCAGGCAGCCCGACAGACACTTTAACAAATCTTTATTTCATGACAGTCCTAATTTAAGGCTCACAAGATCAAACTCTTTTCAGAGGGAAGCAGAGTTATGAAAAGCATAAGTGTGTACTACTGCCCACACACACCTGACAGCTGGACCAAGGGGTCCTTCATGCCCTGTGACAGTCTCAGCCGAGCACCTTACCTGGCTGCTGCTTCTTTGCCAAGACATGCCTACAACAGTATTTCTGCCTTCCTCCAGTCACATCCCTCGCAGCGCATACTCAGCTGTACGGTGCATATTCTACAGCATTATCCTCTCCCTGTTTCCACATGCTGCAACTTAATGCTAGGTCTATGTTCTAACTTACAAGTGAGCTTTCTAATCTCCTTTGCTGCAGAGGGTAGGGTATTTTTCCTGTTTGGGTTTCTTTGTTATAGGTGGGGTTTTTTATTGTTCTGAAGATGTAACTTTTTTTCCCTTCATTTAGTTCTCTTCTGGTCTCTTTAGATCAATAATAGGTACTGTAGTAAGGTAAGCAACCATTACATTCATTAGCCCTTGATTTCAGTTTGTACACTGCCTTTAGCAAAAGTTCCGATTCATCCTACCACACCTGTAAGACAAGCTGCAAAACCCTTCCTAGAAATAAAGAAGTGAAGCTAATAGCCAGTAGATCAAATATATAAAAGATAGATACTGCACTTCACCCCACCCCCCTTTGTTTTCCCTGTCATCACTTGCCTTTAAAGTACCTAGTTTTAGGATAGGAGACAAATGCAGCTCTTGAAAATGTATCCTTTTTTGGGGGGGGGGTTTTTTGGCGAGGGACAACTTTCCATTTCAGAGGAACCGAGAAGCTGGTTCAGGGAAACAGAGGCCACAGAACATAAAGGTGAAATTAGAAATCACAAGCCACACACACCCCTCACCACCCTTGGATTTTCTGCCCTGCCTAGATTTTCTTTTCCCAGTTAGGTCAATCAGAAAGCAGAACTCTCCACATTGTACTCTCAGATGCACCACTCTGATTACACAGGACACCCATTACAGGCAAGAATTTTGTATTCTGTTAAGAACTGTCCAGGCAGTATCTGGATCAACTCACCAAGGCTTGGTTTCTGGAACAGGATCAGAAACACAAACTGCATGGAAATAGGTACACCTCATGCAAATTAAAAAGTGTTAGTCCAGTAGGTACTACATCTCCAACATTGCACTATGCTCACCATTTAACATAACTACACTCACTCCTTTTTGTGCCACTCCAAATAGACAGTTACAGCTCAGTGCCGAGTACCAACTTGGAACATACCTTTGAGGTCCTGTTTTAGTTTATAATTGGTCCATGTGTCTCATGTCACCCCCTCCAGTTACAAGAAAATCGAGAGAGAGCTGCACCTCAACAGGACCGCTGACCACAATGCAAAATTTACAAAGCTGGGAGGCATACTTCTCTGCAAGTTAGTCATAACTATCACCTTTTCTTAAACACAGAAAGCAAGAGAGTTGGCCAGTATGCTTAAACTCGCCAACTGCTGCTGCAGCTGCACAAAAATTACCTGTATGCTAATGATACTGCATTTTTCCTGTCTTTAAGATGATGTGGTAACAAAGCAGATATGCAGAGTTCACACACACACACACCACCACCATCAAACCACCACCAAACAAGAAAAAAAGGACTGCAGTTCTCAGGAAGCCCTTTATTAAGTCAAGGCATTAAAGAAGAAGCTACTGTTATTCACCATGCTTCTCATCTTGAGGTGGTTCATACTGAGCCAGCTGTGGATTTAAAGAGAGGAATTTAGTTAGCTGCAACATTTCAGAGACACTTTCTACATTAAGAAATGTAGGAAAACATTTGGTCTGGAAGTGTTCCCTTTACTTCATGCATTTTAATCCATCACTGATACTTATGTAGGTCCATTTTCAATTCAAGTAACCCATCCCTCAAAACATCAATTTGTCACGTTGTATAATCATGCAGCTATAACGAGGGTGCTTTCTCAATGCACTTTGAAGCATATAGGTCTTGCCCTCATTTTTTTGCCGTTTCTTGATGTAGGTCTCATTAAGTACATTTCATCTCAAATAGCAGCTGATAATGATCATAAGCTTTGATTTCAGCAGAATACAATTAAATGAAACAGCTGTTCCCATAGCAACAAAATCCAAACTAACATTTCCCGTGATCATTCTAGCTTTCATTATGCTTTCTGGATATTATGGTGTAGACAGCTACACACTACAGTATGACCTTTAGTTGTAAAGTTATTTCCAAAGAAACATATTAAGGTGTTTACTTGACCTCCGTTACACTAAAGATAAGCTCAAGCTTCAAAAACAGTTCAAGCATTTGGACAGAGTCTCTGAAATATGTCAGTCCAGTTTCCTTATTTAAGATTCTTCCCCTCTCCTGCAAATTGAGTAGTAGGTTAAAAGTAAAAAAAAGTACGTAAAAATTAAAATACCCATGTGTTTTTTCTAGTAACTCTAAATTACGGCAGTCACCATGCCACTAACAAGAACCACTAAAATAGTATTGTGTCGTTCTTGTAGGTTATACCACAAAAGATGGCTAGTACACAATCCAAAGTCAGTTTTCTTTCCTACAAATGGTCTTACTATTCAATTTGTGCCCCCTGCCTCACCCAAATACCTGACATTCTGACCAGTAAATGTAAGGAAAAGAACAGATCTTCACAAATGAATGCAAGAGAAGAATACCACCTATTTTGACCTGACTCAAGTTACCAATAAATGCACAGTTAAAGGCATGTATTTCATGCTACAAGACTGCCTAAAAAAGAAAGAAAAAAGCTGAACTGTAGTGTCTGTCCATGTGAACTTCTAGGATGTGTCAGAATGACGCGCAGAAGACAGCAGGGGAAAGAAAGGGAAAAAACAAAAGCAGTAATACTGGAAGTAAGAGTTATCACTTGAAGGCTGAAGAAGGTGACAGCACAAATAAACCTCTGATTATGGGAAGACTTACTTTCCTGGAGCAAGTTTTGACTTCTTTAAAAGATTTCTTCAAAGACCCAGATTACTCTACTTTCATGTGTCTACTTACTATCAGTTGCATTTTTAAGTCGGCTATGCCGAGTGAACTGCTGGTCTATTGCTACTTCCCCTAAAATTCTGCTCTTTGCCGCATTTCCTAGTAAGAAATAAATGTATCTGTAAGAACTTACAGCGGGTAACAGAGGAGAATTACTAAGACAGCAAGAGGGCATTCCAGATGGGAAACACAAAGGGGTAGTGCACAAGAACACGTTCTCCCAGAACTAAGGCAAGGTGGTTGTTTCCCAGTAAAAACCTCATAGGGATGTTCACATATAACAGCCATCCTCTTCCTACAAATGCATGGAAACCTGTAGCAGCATGTAAACTACTAGCTTAAGGTTATCAAAGGTCTCCTCCTTCAGCGCTGTTAGGTTTACAGTCAGTGCCCTCTGGTAAGGGGAAGTTGTGGACATCTCAGAGCTGTTTCCAACAGCCTGTATCATAGAATGGTTTGGGTTAGAAGGGACCTTAAAGCTCCCCAGTCCAACCCTCCCCCATGGGCAGGGAGGCCTCCACCAGCCCAGCCTGCTTCAAGCCCTGTCCAAACTGGCCTCAGGCACTGCCAGGGAGAGGGCACCCACAGCTTCTCTGGGCAACCGGGGCCAGGGCTTCACCTCACAGCCAGGAATTTCTTCCTAATATCCAGTATAAATCTCCCCTCTTCCAGTTTAAAAATATCCCCCCTCATTCTATTGCTACCTGCTCTTGTAAAAAGACAGTCCCTTCTCGTGGCTCTGCCTCAGCTAACATCTCAGATCCACTGTTGTTGCAGACAGAGGAATACCAGGGTCATTTTAGCTCAAATGTTACTGTTCCATGTGGACACTGGTAACATCCTGCCACATACAAGCCAGTACCACGTCACACAAATTAATATATAACATTCCTCCTCCAGTTTGCCTTTTGAAATCCTTTATAATAGATACATTAGCTGTTTGTCTTTTTCAAAGCTCTTGTGGAAGCATTATCTACATAATATCAGACAACTTAAACACATCCAGACAGGACTGAATGAAGACATGAGATTAGCCTCAATAACATATAATACAGTAAGTAAATAAATAAACAAAATGCCTAGTTTAGCAATACTATTCTATGTTATCAAAGATAACAAGTGTCCCATTAAACAGACTTAATCTTTACTATGATTAATAATATCAGCATTCTTCAACCAGGAGGCTAAACAATGCAACAACATTGATCAAGTATTCAAATGGAAGAAAGTTAGCAGTGTTCTAAATACTGAAGTATTCTTCTTGTTGTGTAATACGGAACTACTGAGGAACACTTAAGTAGACTTTTACCTTGGCTTTCAGTTTTTTATTTTCTTCCAACACAGCTTCATATTTTTCTTTCATCTCTGCCACTTCCAAGCGAAGTGCCTCTATTTCTGGATTCTCAGGAGCTGCAGCTCCCAGATGATGCTTCAGAAAGCTGATATGTAGATGTTAAGTATTTCTTCAGTTAAACTGTTAAAACTAAAATGCAGTTATCCTCTGTTATGAAGTTAGTGCTGCAATACACATGAACGAAATTGTATTAAACCACTTAAGACAGTCCTTTTCATCCTATGGGATGAAGTTACAAAAATAAGAAAGCTTTCCAAGGTCATTGGAATATTCCTTAAAAAGGTAAGGAAAAGAAAACAAGACATGAGTATACACAAGACAAATTCTCCTGCTTTACTATACCCTCCTTTTCCTCTCAAACACAGAGGTTTTGAGGAGTCAAAAGGAATAACCAAAAACCAGAAGCAAAAAAGGGAGGCTGCTTAAAAGGAGCAAGAAACAGAAGACATTAGGGGTATTTTCCCCTCTTGTGTTGTAAAAAAAAAAAGTGAAGTAGTACTCAAATCCAATCCTGCAGGTCTACAACATTCTGTCATGGCCTATAACTTAACTTCTTAATTGCTGGCATACTGATACGCACAGTTCTCCTGCATCCTGTCAGACTTTGTTAGCTTGTAAAAATTTAATTATTAGCTAATCCATATAAGTTATTATTAGCATCCAATAAGAGCCATTTTCCCCAATGTAAATCTTCTAAATGAGCCTCTCCAGGTCACCCATGAGTCAGAAGCAGTACTGCTGTTTTGTGTCAAGTCTGTACAAACAATTCACAGAAGAGAAAAAGGATACTCCAGTGCACTATTTGGTTTCTCTGGCTCTTCATATAAGGCTACCAACACTGCAAACAGAAAACACTCAACAACTGCAAGAAGTTCAAGCAACTTTAAGTTTTTAAAACACATACCAACAGTCAGAAGGCATACAAGTTGCACGCCACATTTATAGCACATTTTTCTGTTTAACATGGTTTTCCCCTATACACTTTGATGTAAAGAATAGGTCTGCTGTACAGGAGGGAACAAAGCACCCCACCTAGTAAAAGCTAAACAGAGGTTTTGTTGAACCCCTAACCACAGTCTTTGGCTATTCCAGCATGGCACACAAAATAGCCTGGACAACTTTTACATATTCCACACGCAACCCTAATACTGCCTTTCATCAGCAAAATTGATATTCTAAATATTTTGAGACCCTCCCTTCATAAACCATTGCTTCAATTTAAGCTGCATCTTTGAACCGCAGCACAACATCAGCATTTTGTGACTTTCAGCATAAAAAACAAACCTCCATCGAGCACCAGTTACAAAACTAAATGGCTACCGTCAGAGCAGGTGACACTGATAACCTTTATGGATGGGGGCTCTAGAGGCCAGAGTGCCAGAGAGGTCAGGCACAAGCAGCAAGTACTCTGACTTAAATAAAACCAGCCATACACACACCAGCCGCTTATCTGGAGAGTTCAGTCACTCGCCCTTCCTCACAGGGGCACAGATATAGCTATAGAAGACATCTGCTTTCATAAATACTTATATGTCCTTCTCCCTGTTTTTGATGTCTGAACAGCACAGTCGAGTCGGCTTTAAGCTAAGCACCCAAATTTAATACAAAATTAGGATGTCACGCTGTTTGAAGACTTGCTCTGCCATCCCATATGATGGGACAGTCACAGACTATGGATACTCACTCTCACCAAACTGACAGGTTCATTAGTTTCAAGAGAAGCACCAATCTCTACTCAAGAAAGGTATTTTTAAATACAGCACTTTTAAGAGTACATTTGCTGTTCTTTAGTCTGAAGCATTTACTTTCTCTGGAGATCTCTGGCAAGACAGCAGCCCGCAAGAAATTCAGCGATTTCCAAAAGCAAGCATAGAAAAAAGCACTTTTGCCTGAATAAGAGAGGTCTCCAACACACGGCGTAAGGGGAAAGGAAGCCGTTCCTGCTCCTCACGCGTCTCTAACGACCGACCTCAAGCAGCGAAGGCGTCAGCCGCCAGAGCGGAGCCACCGGGAGCTCACGGGCCGCGTTTCCCGAGTGGTCCCCGCCCTCCCTCTGCGCGCCCTGCCTCGCCGTCCCGCTCCGACTCGACTTAGTCGCCGCCCCGAGCTTCCCGGGCGGG